CAGGCCTATGAGTATTAGACTAGAAAACAATCTGAGAAAAGAGTTGGTAGATTTTTCTCAAGACATAAATGTTCATTCCAAGTTTCTGAAAAATTCACATGGTCAATAAAATGGAATCCACGCAGGTGCCGTATATGCAGAAGAAACTGAAATCTTTCTCTCATCTACTTTTGCCACAGAATATGTAACAAAGTAGCTAAAGGTGCAGGCCTCGGGTCTGACAGACCTCCAAGGAACCTGTGGCCTCCTCACAGCTTCCCTGAAGTACCTTTAACGTGGGGAATGTCCCAAGACATCCATCTCGAGATCCTCGAGTTTAAACGGCGCTCCCATGGGCTTATCTGCTCATTTGTAGAACGAGTGTGTGCCAACGGTAGCAGCAAACTGTGTTAACCTTTATCTCTGAGGATAGTTCGGGTCTTTCTACTTGTACAGGAAGACAGACTAAAAGTAATGGGTTCTATAAGGGTTTCCTCAGAGATGGGGAAAGGCTGGCATCATTTCCGCAGGATGAATTCGCCATTTTGGAGAAAGAAATAAGGCTCTGGGAGCTCACCTGATTCTCTAAGGCAGATAACAAGACTTTACAGGGGAGGATTTTAGAACTTAGGGCTCCCCCACCCTTCACCACATCATGAGGGGTATGACTAACCTAAAAAACTCTAAGAGGTCAAGGTTCAGAAAGAGGCAACAGACTCCCAGTAATTTAGCCCTTAATTACAGTGCATTTAACTCAGTTCATCCCTGCACCTCCACTGCCTCCCTGCTCCCGAGGCGGGTACTCCCACTCCACGCCGCTTAAGGTGCACTATGAATGACATCAAAGGGGAAAAGATCAAAGGGGCGACGTTTCACCAAGCCTCCAATTATCATTACCTTATGAATAACTAAGTTATTAAAGAGAAAATAGCGCTCCCAGAAAGCAGCAAACACAGCAAACTACCCCAGTATTTTGGGTGAGGGGAAAGGGTATGGTAATGAGGGACCCCAGCAACTGATGTGTTACTCTAGAAAGTTCCCAGCCTTCCACCAACACTGCCTCGGTCTCCTTAGCTGAAAAAACCGAGAACAAGGGGCACAACTCGACCGAAGACAGGGAAGGCCAAATACACGCTTCCAGGTGCACTGCACGACTGAGAGCCAGGGACAAGCACGGGGCGCCAACTCCCGTCCCTGGCCAGGAAACAAACTTAACCATTCCTCCTGGCTAGGGAGCTTTAACACCAGTGTTTCCCTAGGATTACTATGCCATTTTCTCTCTTCTTTTCCCTTTGTTTCCATATGACACAATTATGTTCTAAGATGAAGAAAATAAAATATCGCATTAATTAACTCATTTTAAAAAATCACAGGGGCATGAGAAGTATTTACCTAGTAAGTGAAAATTCAAGCCAAAAAGTTTCAGCTTAAACATGTTTACTCCTGCTCTGAAAGACAGCAAGAGAAATTCTGTAGTTTTATTGGGACTTTTAAGGTTCCCCAAATGTATGTTGAAATTCTACATATGAAACACACAAAAACTCTGAAAACTTTGGGGAAAATGTGATAATGGTTTTCGAAAAAGTCCCAACTGTATAATTTAAAATAATTTCCTACTGCTTGTGTAACTTGTTCATCCAGAACACACCTACATCAACATAATTGTTCTGGTTTCAAGTTTCACTTTTAATCTTCTATTTTCAAAAACTACAGAGTCACTGCAGGCAACTACAGGATAACAGAAAATAGTTTTCAATTATTTAAAGACCCTTGGCTCTGCAAGTTGAAATAGCTTCTAGGCCTAAATTATGTCCTCTACTTGAGGGATGTTTCCCGGGACTCAAACCTGGTGAGTCCCTGAAGCTCCACTTCCTGGAAGGTGGATCAAGAGGCAGGATCAAGCCCAGCACCTCAGGCTTCTGAACAATCTCTGGTCTCGTTATTTCATAACCAGGCGCTGTTATCTCTGATGGCTGAGGTATTCACTAGCACAATCCAGGTGTCCTGGGTATTCTTAACTCTTTCAGGACTTGATGCTACTTAGGAGCTGTGGGGTCTGAACCTGGCCACCGTGCATCACTGGTCTCAGTGCGCCCCAAGTGACACTGAGCCCCCAAGCACCCTTTCCTTCCAGGGCGTCCAAGGAATTTGGTTTCAAATGTTATTTAGACTTTTTAAAGATGTGCACAGTGACTTTTGCAGTTTCAGAAGGTGAAACTTGAAGATCTAAAATACCAATGTTAAAAGGACAGAAATACACAGCCAGAAACAAAGTTAAAAAAAAAAACAAAAAACAGAGCACAATCAAAGATAGATAATAGTAAGTAGGGAGATCTTTTTCAAATGGGAGGGGAAAGAAGAGATGGAGGAAGGAGCCAAGAAAGGGAGGGAAAGGGGATGGGAAGAAAGCACTGAAGGAAAATATGGAAATAGAGTTTTTGCAAACAGGAAGGGGAGTTGGAAGGAGAATAAAGAGAATAAAATATTAACACATCTTCTAGTGGTACAGAAACCAACTCCCCACGGTAAATGAAATCAGTATGCAAACATGGACTGATAAAAGTTATTAGAGAGTATGCTCTCTGATGCACCCACGTTCAATTAAAAACTAAATGTTCAAACAGGACACTACGGTCTCTCAAGGCTGCATGTGGCCTGTGAGCTGGAATCGAAGAGGTTGCTTCATCACAAATAAAACAACTGCAAAACTTCTTAGAAGAATCACAGCCTAAATGTGTTGACCTCAATATTGTGAAAAGAATGTACACACACACACACACACACATCACCTATAAAATAAAACAGATCTCTTTTTTCCTTTAAAGGAAAATTTTATACTGATCATATGATATAGCAGTTTCTTTTTCTTACAGTAGTGGAAACTAGGAGGATGTATTTAATTTTTAAACCTCAAAGTATCAACAAAATGGAAAATAAAAATTCTCTAAACTACTACATTATACACATGTACAGAAAACTCAAGTATTTTTAAAACTTTCACGTAGCCATTCCTCCCTGTTTTTAATCTTTCCTATCTACCAAAAATGCCAAGAAATACAGATTACACAAAATCACTACCTCCTTTGTGACGGAAATTCTGATTCATGTATATTTACACCTAGTTACTGCATTAGCTGTTTCAAAGTTATTTAAGAAAAGCTGACCTTCCCCCTCACAAAAGAAAGATATTTCAGACACGTATGGACAGAGAATTAATCTCCTGTGTAATTTTCTGTAAAAATTTTTGGAAAATGTGCACCACTCAACAATGTCAAACCAAAAGCAGGGAGGATAGAGCCTAAGAAAAAGTAGAAATAAGCTTGGCATGATGGTGCTCACCTGAAATCCCCTGACTCTGAGAGGCTAAGGCAGGAGGATCACAAGGTTAAGCCCAGCCTGGACAATTTAGTGATTTAGTGAGACCTTGTTTCAAAATAAAAAAGGGCTGGAATTGTAGGTCATTGAGAAGGCCATGAGTTCAACTCCCAGCACCGGAAGACGGGGGGTGGGGGTGGGAAGGGAGGAAGAAGGGCGAGAGAAGGGAGAGGGAGGACAGAGAAGCTCTGCAGCAGACTAAGAGAATAATCCGTCTAAATCTGATCACTCCCAGTACCAGGGAGAGAACTCAGGACTTCGCACTTGCGAGGCAGACGTGGCACCACTGAGCAAATCCCTGGCCCTAAAACTGATCACTTAGTAGAGAGTGTGACAGTCTACGTGAACAACACTGTATTTACATAACAATATAATAATTGCTACTTAGTTTTCTGCTTTCAGGTTCAATTAAGAAATAAAACATAGGTCAGGGATTTAGCTCAGTGGTTCCACCACCTGCCTTGCAAGCACAAGGTCCCAAGTTCTATCCTGGTACCAAAAAAATAAAGGAAAGAAAACATAAAAATAATGAAAGAACATAAACATTATTTTTTTCCTTCCATTTCTGGGATGAACCCTGGGCCCTGTGCATGCAAGGAGAGTGCTCTTCCCTTGAGCCAAGTCCCAAATATCATGTTAACTCTGCTGCCAGAGATAGATTAACGCAGCTGTGAGAGCTGGGTCCTCGAGGGCAGAGGAGAAAAGTCAGAAATCTCCATGTCCTTGGCTGTGTACTGGCAGTCAAAGTCACTGTTCAAAGGCAGTGAAGCAATAAAGACAGACTGAAGTAAAATACTTTAAATTACTGGGATAATACAAGAAGAAATATGGTAACCAGTTGAAACACATTTAAGAAGTTAAATTCCCTATCTTTCAAAGTAGGAACTTGAGCCAGGTATGGTGGCACATGCCTATGATCCCAACACCCAGGAAGCTGAGGCAAGAGGATCTCTGGAGTTTGAGGCCAGCCTGTAATATATAGTGAATTCAAGCGCAGCCTGAACTACACAGCAAGGCCTTGTCTCAGAAAAACAAACAAGAAAAATAAACAAACAAACCCAAAACAAAGTAGCAACTTGAGTCAATAATGAAAATACATAAATTCAGAAATGGAGTTGTAAATACGTTGTTTACAAGCCAGATGTGGTGGCGTATGCCTGTAATTCCAGCACTCGGGAGGCTGACAAAGGAGAATCTCTGTGAGTTCGAGACCAGCCTGGGCTACATAGTGAGTTCCAGGTCAGTCTCAACGACATAGTGAGATCCTGTCTCAAAAGATAAAAAATATGTTTTTTACAAAATAGAAGCAACAACTCAAAAAACTAAGGCTATGTGGAGAAAAATATACGAGCAGTCACAGCTGGAGGTGGGAAGAAGGGAAGGAGAGAAGGAAACAGGAGGTGAGGGAGGGAGGAGGAGAGGGACTCCACAGAATGCGCTTTGGCCTTCGAAGTGTCTTCCCGGGTACACCTTTTCCTGCGTCCTGCTCCTCCTGGCAATGCCTCACCCTGGCCAAAACACACCAGTGGCCCTTCATGGTCCATGGGAAAAGCATAATGTCAAAACATGAATTTAACTCCCAAATACGTAAACAAGTTTTCCACTTCTGCGAATCCCAGGGGTGCACTGGGCAGCTGCACACCTACCGCAAAACTTGTCAGCTTCGGGATCGTTCGCATTGATAGCAATCAGTTTCCAATCTGTTTCACCTTGATCGATGAGAGCCAAGACGCCGAGGATCTTCACGGGGACAACCTCTCCACGGGAAAGAACCTTTAACGAGAAAAGACACCACTGTGGGGGATTTGGAGCATTTGCTGTTATGTCATAAAACCGTATGAAAGATGGGAAGCACTGTGGACCAAAGTTAATAGTTTCAATAATTAAACAGAATGTAAAAGTACATAATCATAAAGTCTGCCTTGAAATGTCCCTCGCAGAATCTGAAAATGTTCACTTCAACCAAGATGGGGTTAATGATTAAAAGAAAGAAACTGCCCTTTCAGAAAAAGGGACAAAACATCCGAAATCCCTCTTTGCAGACAGTAAATGACAGATGTGTATGACTGGGACCCACAGTGGAGATGGAATGTGCTGGGCCCCGGGGCCACCTGTGTGTCTGATCTACACTTTCCGGGCTGAACACAGAGGCGGACCTGAAAGAGTAGGGGTCTCAGCACAGAGCGAGCAGGAGCCAGGGGATACCAGGGTGGGAGATACCTCCTCCCCGATGCCTGATGCCACCCCCTCGGAAGGAAAGCAGTTCCACAAGCCGTCCAGTTTCTTTTCCTTTCTAGGCTAATTTTATAGACAAATAATCAACACTGCTTATTCCAAGGCGTTATATGTAACATATATCACAGAGAGGGAAAACTCAGTTTTCCACTGTTTCTTAGAAACACTGAGTAAGATTTTCTGTGTAAAACCATTTATTTGAATGTTCTAAAGAAGTCGTTGTGCAACCCCATGTTTTTAGGTAAACAGTACTACCAGAAAGACAGACAGACAAATACGGGGAGGATAAGGCAGCTAGAATTTGCAGTAGTGGCAAGGGGAATGAACTCCAGCTATCTCCTGGGGCTCTGTAGTGACTGTGATGAAATAGTGACCAAGCTTGAAGGAACCCGGGAACTGGATGAGAGCTCAAGTACCCAGGGAACCTGACATGCAGGATGAGCCTGAGAGGCATCCTCAGATACAGAGCAGACCAGCAGATAGGCATGAATCAAACAGGAATGCAGGGCTGAGTAAGGAAAACGAGGAAAGGGGTCCTGAAGCTGGTCTGCATCCCACGGCGATGCTCCTCGTCACCCTCAGCTATGCTGGAAGAACCGGAAGCTTCCCCGAGTCTAGCTTACCCCTTAACGCATATCTATAAGCTTTCCCATGACAATGCATATCAAACTGAAAAGCTAAAAATGTCATTTAACCATAAGTTTTTTAATGTAAAAATCAAAATAAACTCAGGGACATCTTAATCTGAGTTTCTTGGGAGGCTGAGGCAGGAAATTCACTTAAGCCCAATAGTTTGAGTCCACCCGGACAATACAGTGAGACACTACATCAAAGACAACTAAATAAAACAAAATGACTTTTTTAAAAACTCAAAATAAAATTTTAAAAACTCAAAATAAAATCACTTTGTATAAGTAAACACGGAATCCATGTTTTTTAAAAATATAGCACCATGAGACAGACCATTTAAACCTGTCGTAATTTGATGTTCAAATGTAAGAAGGAAAGTTATTTATCCATTAGGCCTAGAAATCCACATTAGACAAAAAATAAACCCAGATATAGCAATGCATAATATCAACTTGGCTCCTGCTCGGTGGGAAGGGAGGAAAGAAGAGATCTGAGAATTTGTTTTTATTTTTTTTTTGAGACAGAGTCTCACTGTAGCCCAGGCTGGCCTACACCTCACCAACTCCTGCCTCAGCCTCCTGACTGCTGGGATTACAGGCATGCACTACCACGTCTATCTGGCTCCTGAGAAAATTTAGTAATTATCAAAATGACATTTTTTTATTTTATTTTATTTTTTGGTACTGGGGATCTAACTCAGGCCCTTGTGCTAGCGAGGCAGGCAACGGAACCACTGAGCTAATTCCCCAGCCAACATTTTTTAACTTTTAAATTAACTCAGATACCTTTTTTTTGTAAACTACATTCATAAGTTATAGTGAAAAGTAAAATACTTAGAGGCTTAAGGTAATGAGTGACAAGGAAAAAATTATTAATGTTAAGGATGTAAGCACAATTAGTTTCATAAAATTCTTAAAGAAGATTTTAGGGAGGGGCTGGGGATTTAGCTCAGTGGCACCATGCCTGCCTTCCAAGTGCAAGGTCCTGAGGTCAATCCCCAGTACAGGGGGAAAAACAAAACAAAACTAAAATTAGAAAAATAAGATTTTAGGGAAACTCAAAAATAAGATGATGTGGAAGCAGATACACTATGTGTTTACGAAAGTTACTGGAGAGATTCTCTCACGTTGCCCATTCTTTCTACATTCTGTCGTTTTCAGAGGCTGAGTTGGCCACAGAATTCCACAGACCTCAGAATAAATTTCTTCATGATTCTAAATGCAGCTTTACATTTAGAAACTATGCAAAAAACAGGTTCTTTATGTGTCCTGAAATAATTTATTTTGAAAAAATTGATTTCTTTTTTTTTTTTTTTTTTTGGTGTAACTAGGAAGTGAGCTACACCCCGCTCCTC